TTACCTCCCACATGGAAAGCTGGCCAGCTTTGTGTTAGTTCTCAGGACCGACTGTGGAAAAGACAGCTACAAGTACCTCCTAGGAAGAGCAACAGCAATGTTATTCCAGCCCAAATTGAACCAGGAAGGAATGGTTCCACGCCCTCAGCGTAATTGTCTGTCTTGTCTCGGGAGACCTTATGCTAAAGGACTTCTTTAAGGTCCCTTAGTGTCATGTCATATTTGCATCAGTGATGTTTGCCTTGAGACTAACTGATTGGATTTTTGCCATAATTGCACCTAAGTCCCAGGGGACCAGCCAGAGCCTTAGGTGAATAATTTAAGCATTTAATTTATAATAAAGATAAAGTTTGCAATCAGCATTTCTTGTTCCAAAACATTCCATTTACTTGGTTTTAAAGCTGCATAAACTGTTTTAAAGGCAATCTGCTCAATTGGGCGAGTTAATGATATTGAATTTGACCGGGCCAAACGTCACTGGGTGAGCATCCCGTCTATAATCACAGCCATCATCACCGCCGTTTTGTGTAATGTAGATGCAATGCTAATCCTGAGAATAAAAGTTGTCATTCTCGGTTGGCTGACGGCGTGCCCCGGAGTCATCACCTCGCTAAGTCTCTCAGTGATGTGATTCCAAGATGACAGTGTAATAAGTGTTATGTGCACAAGGTAATTCAAAACAAATTTGGCTGCAAAAATGGATCGTCTAGGATAGTAAACTCCCGCCTTGTCTCATCTTCTTTTAAGAGAATGTAATGATCCCTAAAATACCTTGTCAAGAAGCTCATGTGGCAGGGGTCAGGTTCTGTAAAATTTATCTGTTGCACCGCCCTCCTCCTCCAAGAATCCCAACTCAAGGACTGAAAATATCAGTGTGCATATTGGTACCCCAGGAACACACAAGACGGGCAGACAGCTTCTGGGAAGCTAAGAAGCCTTTCAGCATACGAATGTCTCTTAAGAACACCTCACTAGGCTGGGTTTCGCTTCTTTGATTATAGATTGTTTCCTCATGGGAAAATGTGTCTCTTCTACCATAGGATCCCCACGAGCACTGGAGTCTTAGTAAATTCTTATTGTCGGCATTTAGGCATTACAAGTAAGTTATCTCATCTAAACTTTATATTACCCTAAGAAGCATGATGCTATATTTATTTTGTAGATGAGGAAACTGGAAAGAACAGTTAAATTGCCCAAAGCCCACAGCCAGGATTCCAACGCTGGCTTCATCCCACAATTGCCGTCCCTGTACACTCCACCTCTGAACTATAAAAAAAGGAGGAGGTCACCTGGCTTGTGGAGGAGCTTATTTGAGCTGTATTTGATTGAAAACTGTATGGGCTACTAAATTTGTTTTCTTGGGCACAGTTGTCAGAAATGCCTTTCTGTGGAACCCAGCCGTAGGCAGGGGGGACATTCTTGTGTGGGATGACAGGGCATTTCTCAGTCACCCCAAAGTCCCAGTTCTCCCTTTGGGGTTGCTACTGCTCTTCCCTCTGTAACCTGGGCAGTATGGATGTGGTTGTATCAGTGCCGTTTAATAGTACCGAAAGCTGGATGGATTCAGAACAGCTTTCCTGCTTTTTGTAATTGAGTGTGTCTCAACACAGAGGAGCTCTTTGTAGCCAAGAATGCTTTTAGCTTTAGGCTGATCCAAGCAGGTCCTTCATGCATCATTTTCTTGGTACCATTTAAACATCCACTCAATGGTACTAGCATTTGGTTTATAAAATCTATCCAAGTAAAGCAGTAGTTGCCATCACCTTGCTATAAAAATAAAATAAGATGTACTCCTAATCAGAGAAGGCTTTTCACTAATTACCCACATAGAAGACTGTCTCTAGGAATGAATGAGAAGACATTTGTGCCTAATTTTACAATATAGCTATGTGATATTTACACCTTTTAGGATGTTTTGGACTGTAGGTAGTTAAGATCCAAGTCAAATGACCTAAAGTATAAGAAATGTATTATTGAATATAACAAGAAGTTTGGGGATAAGAGGTTCTAAACTCGGTTAATTCACTTACTCAGTGATATTATTGGGACCACAATTCTCTCATTTTTCTACTCTGCCATCCTCAGTGTGTTAAGCTGGCCTCTGAGGCCAGTTCCCCACAGGGTCCCAAGATGCTGCCACAAGTCCAAGGAAGCATGCAGATGACTTGCCTAGGGGCAGAAAATGGCCCTCTCCTGTCTCATGTCTTAGTTTAAGGATGAACAAAACCTCAGAGCTCCCTAGCAGTTCTCCCATCCCATCCAACCAGCCAGAATTACACTGTATACCCATGCCTAAATCCATCATGAGGCAGAAGGACCAAGACCACCATGATAGGCAGGAGCCCATCAAAATCCACACCTCAGATCTCCCCCAGAAGGAAAGATATAGGATCTGGTAGAAAGGAAACAAAGAGTTCTTTTAGCAGAGAGGAAACATTAGGGTGAGGATGGGTGCGTGCTGCGCAGGCAGCTGACATTGTCTCCTGTGGTGTTTGTAAGAATTATGTGTCTCTAAACAGTGTAGACCTATAGGTTCCTTTCTGGACATAACTAGGAGATTCCCGGATTCTAATTCCCCATCCTCTGCCTCACTTAGCTTAGTGTTCCTCTTAACAAGAAGAGGAAGTTATAAAGGAAAAAGATACCATAGTAAGAAAATCCCCTTCTTATTCCTTTTTGGCAAAAGGCCTGGTATTTATATAGTATTAAATAGAGGAAGAACAAATTTGACACATCTTGTAGCACCCACTTGAAAATCCTAATGTCTGAATTCATTGTGGGTATAACTAACATTGGGGCAAGCCATCCCCAGGGAATACAAAGGGCAGAAGACCGGTGTGACTGGGTGGTATTGAACACACCCACACCTCCTAAGGGTGCTATCTGTTGCATTAAGTTATTCTGAGGAACAAATTTACTGTAGCATTGTAAATTCCTGTACTATGTGACTCTTGGTGTCACACATTTAGTGAAAGATATGGCTCAAACAGTTCGGCCCCAGCATGAATTCCACAGGACCCCAAGTTGTTTTTCATCCCCATCTACACCCCATTCCCTCCCATGCCAAGCCCTCAGCATTCGAAGGTCTAAGCAGGGAAGCACTCACCAAGGTCACTTGGGGCAGAAAGCTAGAAAGAATTCTTTCTTGTCCTTTCATTCTTCTCTCAAAGGGAGAAACATGGCAACAGTTGTAGTGTTAAACCCTGCTTTCCAAGTCCTCCAGGATGGGGAATTTAAAAGTTCGGTGGTTCAGACAGTTCCTTATTTACTGGTGCACTCAAGTCATTTTGTGACCCAGAGTTCTTTTCTGCCGAACTCCCTCATGATGTAAATAAATTACTTAAGTGGATTGAATCCAAATCATTAATAACCTCCACTGGCATGATTCATTTGGGCTTCATTACAAGGAAAGAATTCAACATCAATTTCTCAACCCAACAGTTGTTTACAACGCACTTCAACCTAAGAGTTGTTGTCCCTACAGGGCCAGAGTGAAAGGGTTTGGGGGAAAAAAAGAGAAAAACAGCTTTGCAATCAATACTTATGTTCTGCCTGGACAGAGGGAAATTGAAGTGCTCTGAGGATAGACCTAATTGTCAGCATGCTTTGAAGTCCAAGATACTAAGGGAGGAAAATGTATATATGCCAGATAGGAAAAGGCTGTGGTTCAGTGTTCATTTTCACATTTATACATACATGCTAAAAACACGCACATTGCAAGAATGGACTATTAATGTAAGAGATTTAAACTCAGGGATTGCTATGTGGAGTGACTTGAGTGGGTCAGTGTTCTCCAGAAAAGCTTTGAGAAGCTGAGCAACTTCTGCAGTCCTGTGGAATATGATTCCTATACCATCATTTTACATTTGCTTTTTAAAAGCCCACCAAACCTCTTGAGGAATACCGTAATATTAAAATATTGTGGAGCCTGATGCATTTTATGCAGTCCAGTCATAAGATGTTACCAGACTTTCTGCCCATAACTACCTGAACATAGTTCCTTTGTTTTATGGGGGAAGGGAAAAGAGAGGATAAATTAAATCATTGGACTTCCATCTAACTTGGAATGACTTTGATTTTTAGAAATAAGACTCTGATTTCTATTTCATCTTATGTAAGCTGTTCTAAAGATAGCCAGGTTGGGTGAGTTTTGATTGTACCATTGGGGAGAATCCTGGACATAGCATCCAACGTTCTGACCCAGCATGAACTAGTAAGGTCCTCTCATGAGGTCTGAGGCTGCAGGGAGGGAGATGATCTTACTTTCAGTCCTGCCAACTTCACAGGACTATGATGAGAGAACTGTTGAGAGGTATCTTCATTTAAGCCATGCAGCAGACAGTAGTCACTCAATAAGTGCAGGCTTTGAGGATGCAGTAATAGCAAAACACTGCACACAGTGGGAAACAAAACAGCAATTAAGCCAGTGGTGACTTCCCCCCAAACGTTGGCCATTTGAGTTCCTTCTCCATAATACTTGCCATATGCCCCTATGACCTGAACTGTCATTTACTTAATATTGTCAATGGACTTTTTAAAGAGCGAAAGGATTAATTTTAAGAGGAAATTTCATATTACTTCCATGACGGGAAGACTGGTATCATCTGACACAAACTGGAAAAATACACACTATTAAAACGTAACAGTGTAATGAATTTCTAGTTAGCTATTATTGCCTGATAAAGGCTCGGAGCCTGAGGCTGGCCTTTTCTTTCACAGGCAAGATTAGCAAGTGATGAAATTGTGTTAAAGATATTCCACGGGGAAGCCAAGCTTTCCCGCTGTGAGATTTACTATTTCATGCCAGATCTGAATACCTCCAAACTCACTCTTTTCACCAGGCATTCTTTGGGAAACCTAAACATTAGAGAAGTGAAGTTCTCTGACCCCATCGCCTGCTTCTTTTAGCTGCTTACACATGAAAGGAGCCAATCCATGTATCTGTCCTTCCATTTTCTGCTTCATTCTAACCTTGTCCCACCCTAAATATTTTTCCACAGGTCAACGGCAAAGACTTGTCCAGAGCAACTCATGACCAGGCTGTGGAAGCTTTCAAGACAGCCAAGGAGCCCATAGTGGTGCAGGTGTTGAGAAGAACACCAAGGACCAAAATGTTCACGCCTCCATCAGAGTCGCAGCTGGTGGACACAGGAACCCAAACCGACATCACCTTTGAACATATCATGGCCCTCACTAAGATGTCCTCTCCCAGCCCGCCCGTGCTGGATCCCTATCTCTTGCCAGAGGAGTAAGTAACCTAATCTTGAACCCCTAACGCGTTAAGTAAAGAAGTATTTCCAAGTTGTTTTTTTGCTCTTCCATGTGGCAAAAAAAAATTAATGCACCCTATAATTTTCCTCCAAGTTGCCCATATTTAATTTTATTGTTTATAGAGGCAATAAATCGAATCCTGCTCAAAACCGCTCTGACATATTAATTACTTTATTATAACCCTGGAGCGGACTTACTCAAATTATATCCTAAGAACAGAATTACTTACAAATGTTGTAAAAGTTGTTTCAGAATAAAATTTAATCACCCCAAATGGTAATTTGAAGATCATGCAGTTATTACTAGAGGGAATGCTGATCATTCTTTTAAATAGACAACAAAGTAAGTTGTGTGTGTCAAGAGAGCCCTGGAGGTTGTGCCTTCTGCTTTCTTGGGTCTCATTTCAAGCCTGGATCCATGTAATAAGCCCGCACATGCCTCATCTAAGTACTGCATCAACCAATTAAATAACAGCTGCAACTCAGCACGCCACATGGATTTCTTTACACACACCTCTTCTCCCAACTTATTTCTGCCAGCAGCAAAGATTCCTTCAGAGGCTTCAAGTCAGACAAACCTGATGCTCAAAGTGATTTCTAGTTGTGGAACTTGGGTAACCTACTTTGTTTTGTGGGGCTGTATTTTTCCTATATTAAAATGGGGATAACAGTATCAATCTCTTATGATCGTTGAAGGATTAAATAAAACAGTATGTGGGAAGTGCCCATGGGGCATATGGTAAGCACTCGGTACATGATAGCAGTGATCCCCGTTAATTTAGTGGGTGAAGTAAAATATTCAGGAAAAAATGAAGAGCAAGACATTTTCTGTGATAGACTGCTGGCCTCCAAGGCGTCCAGTTCAACATAGCTTTAAACGAAGCTTTTCGTGTGTAACTTCGCACATCTGAGGACACAGCCTCTCCAGCTGATGTTAGGGTCGCCCCTGTGTTTTCCCATCTCAGCTCCATCTCGGATCAGATCATTTATTTCAAAGGGCATTTTCACCTCTTACAGGAAAATCCACTGGGTAATACCTGTTGGATTCCTAGTAGTAAGTCAGTAGCTGGAGTGAGCACTTGTTTCCTGTGGTTCTGTCAAGTTCCAAATAAAGGCTTGCGCTTCATCCCTTGATTTTAGTGGCTAGCTGTCACTGGAACCCAGGGCTAATTCCCCAGGCTTGACAGAGTAGGTTTGGCGGCAGCTGGTAGCGTAAAGACAGAGGACAGGGCATCCGTCTCACATTCACTCACAGTGTGCACATGTGCAAAGCACTATTATCTCCTTTATTTCTCATGACTGTCCGTTTATACAGGTGAGGAACTGCAAACTTCAGGTTCCACTGAGCTGATGGAAAGGCAGGTCAGTCAGACCCCGACTCCCAGCTCTGAACCACAGTACCCTGTAGTGGCCCATTCGATCCTCTGGAACAACTGGCTGATTCACTGAGTATGATTATCCAAACCATTTATCTGACGTTACAGACCAAACTGCCTCACATTATTGATGAGGCCTTTAAGGCTACTTCTGACTCTCAAATGTTGGCCTGTCACAGTGACGGGCCTTTTAGAAGCTAAACCTGTAATTTCCTCTTAAGTCTAGTTAACATGACATGACTTATCCCCTGGGGGCAACTTGAGAAATGTCAGAAGAGTCCAGAGGTCAGGCCTCTTCAGGTTCTGGCTAGGTCAGACAACAGCAAGAGCGTGCATCGGGACTGAACGGGGAATGTTAAGTTGATGCGTGAAAGCCCAGACCTTCCAACAGTATCCTCAGTACTAAAAGCCCTTTAAGTGCAGGCAGTATATTTGCCTGATGGGTCCAGAAAATTGAAAGCCAGCCCTTATTTGAATGGCCACTCATGTCTAATCTGTTGTTTCAAAACTAAGTGCCTGGCAGGGAAGACTAGGGCCCATTGATTGCTGTGCTATGACCTTTGAGAACGTGAAGGTTTGGGTCCCCAGCCAACAATCAGAGGCTGAAGCTTTGCATCTGGCACCGTGGACTGTTAAGCTCCTTTCAAAGCCACTGATCCAGTATGTTATGACTCCCACTGCCTTTGCTCCTTGAGGTTCCTTTAATGACGCTTCCAAAGATGTCATGAGTTCTGTGGATTGTATTTTGCATATGTTGTCCTAGGGAAACATATCTTTATATGCATTGTTATATGATGCATATAAAACATCATTATATGTATTGATGCCTACATGTTTGCACATACGTTTCAACCATGTAAGTGCATACTGCATTGTGATATCAAACATATCTTTGTGAGTAACATTCAAAAAGACACCGTCCTAGGTAACAGCAGCAGAGTTTCAGTCTCAGCCTTTTGAACTGGTCTCAGGGGCCAGCACATATCTTAGACTGTTGCCTGGGCTCGAGCCTAGTTTTCTGCAGAGCCTAGTTTTCATCTAACAATGAAGCAATAAGCAGTAAAATACTGTCCTCTTTCCTGCGTACAGATGGAGTTAGAAATTAGTCACATTGAATCACATGACTGGCAGGCTCTGGGATGGGCTCTGCAAACAACAAAGCCCACCAGGCTGGCACTTTGCATCTTAAGTCCTTCAGCAGGAAATGGACTAAAGGCAAATGGTAAAATTAGGATGATGGAGGTCCTGACCATGCTGAGAGCCCCATCCAGAGGGAAGTGAGTCATGAAAGGGCCCACACCCTGGGAACTGTTCCTGTGCCACTGGCCTGACCATGGGTGTAAGAGAAACAGATCCTGACACTGGAAACAGGGCTGTAATGATGTTGCATCTCTTTTCAGGCATCCCTCAGCCCATGAATACTACGATCCAAATGACTACATTGGAGACATCCATCAGGAGATGGACAGGGAGGAGCTGGAGCTGGAGGTATGAAGAACATCCTTGTCTCATTTTAGGAGTCATTATTAAGAACACAGAATGCCTAATAAGTTCTCTATAAACATAAATTAGTTTACAGATGCCAATGGAAAAATAACAAAAGCAGAACCACTTTTACTCATGCCCTTTGAAAGGCACAACTGAGATTCTTCTTCCCTCCTTGGAAATAGAGCTTAATAATCAAGTCCCAAAAGCAGAAATGTAAGGTTTTTTTTTTTTTTTTTTGAATCACTTAAAAGATAGGACAGTAAATCCTGTTGTCAACCTTTGAATCCACATAATCCATACATTCTTGTAACTAACATAAGCCGCCTCACCTTCCTCCCTTTTATGTCATCACCACTCTTTACTCAAAGGCAGATGGCTCAAGAGTAGGTGGATAAATTACTTCAGTGAATGCTAGCCTGCCCTAACAAAAGGGTTTGTTCACTGCTTCACTTGCTTCAAGTTTGCTAACATTGATATAGAAGAAATTAAACAAATCCATAACTCTTCTTAAGTGTTGCTTGAGGCCACACAGGATTAGGTAAAGATTCAAGATGCTACATAATGTCAAGTAGGTCTTTGTTAAGGTTTAAAATATTTAGAGGACACCAGGTTGCCAACAGAGTTCTACTTCCCATTTTCCTTTTAATAAGGGTGATAGAAAATACAGGAAACACTAACTTGTATAATATATTTATATTTTGGGGGAAACACTTTTATATTTCAATGGGGTTTCAAAACATATAAGAGCATTTCTGAAAGCTGATCTTGTGGAGTAAAGTAAAAAGACACCTGATGTTGACAGGCAAGCCCTTGGGTACCATCAAAAGGTCACCCAGGAAAAAAATCGAACATTTTATCCAATTTCATGGCTAACTGTTGTGTAATCTATGCTGTCCTACCAATACTTCTGAAGCTGAACTGTTTAGTGGCAGTAGGTTCTGTGCAAGGACAGAAGCAGTCGAATAGTAGAAAACAGCTGTGTTCCTCTACTTAAAGTTACCAAGAGTTCTTATTCCAAAACAGAAGTTAAAAATCAATAAATGTAGGCAAACGATGACTTAACTGACGGTTAGCCAGATACAGTCAAATCAAAGGACTTGTCGCCAGTGGCATGACTGACTCAATGCAAGTTTTTAAAACTTTAAAATTTTCCCTAAATGCACCTGTTCTAAACAGGAATGGCCACTATAAAAACTTGACTTTCTGCTTGCTGTCAACCACTTACCAAAGCACTTGCCATTTAACGATTGCTCCAGGGAATGAAGCTTTGTCATTTTCAAAAATCAGGATTCTGCCTCTTATTTAGTGTCCTATCACCCCAGCTTCAGGGATGTTTGGTGAAGCAGCCACGACTCCTTCAGGACACTTTTCCTTAATTTGTTCCTTCCAAAGGGGGTTCATAAGGAAATACATTTGAGAAATGCCAGATCGAAGAAAACTAAACAGATTTCTTGGAGGACTTCTGAGAATCTTGACTATCTAACTAGCATTGGTAAATCCCCTGGGGGAGTGGGCAGAATTTCCCCCACCTCTCTGGCCAAGTACCTGTTTATACTTCCTCAGTCTACAGTTCTCTGGAACACTGTTGGAGAAACACTGCTCTCCAAACAGAGGGCTATTCAATCATCTTTATGGGACGACGCTGCTTTTTGATGATGTAATTGTGGCAAAGTAGAGTTCTTTTAAAAAGCTGTCAGGTGTTTCAGAAGCTAGAGGTATGAAGTAGTAGAGATTCTGCAGTCTTTGGTATTTAGTTAAACTTGACTTTATAGCAGTGGGTTCTTTAGCTCTTTTTTTAGTTTCTAATACCTTTGAGAATCTGATGGAACCTACAGCCCCTTTCTGGAAAAACTCTGCTGCCTGCGAGAGCTTGCATACAGTTTCAGGAGATTCACTGAGCCCCCACAGTATCTGCCCAATTTGGGCCATTCTGTCTTACAGTTTTGTTGTTGTATCTGAGTATCACCAGAACTCTTATGTGCTTTCTATTTCTCTTTAACTCGACTCAACTTATTTAAACTACGGTAATTTTATTTTAAAGGAAACACTATACCACTGCCTCAAGCAGAAAGTCAGCATCCATTGTCTTAAATAGAAAATCCCATACAATTAAATACAGTGGACACAAGCCAGTGTTATTAAATCCTGGTGCTCAATAAGGGTGCCCGCTGAGGGTTGGGAGCCTGGGGTCACTACATCCTGCCTTTTCTCTAAGGAGATTAGCTAGTATTAAAGAAGTGTTAAGACTAGCCTGAACTGAGTCTTTCTCCCCAAAGCCTGAAGCACCTGAGAGCATCCTGCTTTCAAAGCGGGAGGGAGCCACTCAGAAAATGTTCCCTAGAACCCTGTTGTTTAAAGTGTGGTAGGAGGACCAGCAGCCTGGCTGGTCAAAGTAGAGTTCTCATCTAGGAGATGTGGGAACTGCAGAAACTTGGCCCCCCAGATCTTCAGAATCAGAATCTGCACTTTAACAAGGTCCCTAGGTACCTCGGTGCCCGTTACCCTGACCTACAGGCCACAGGCCCAGATAAAGAAGCCCAAGCTATCATTTCCTCTTGTTCTCTTGAGTCACTCCAGTGAGGCTTTGGTGGTGCCTTTCACTCACTGCAGTGTAGAGATGTGCCCCCGAGTCACGATTGTTGCCCATACTGTCCATGCAGAGTAAAATTATCAGGGCCTAGGAATGACTAAACCCCTCGTAGGCATGTGACACTGTGTTCCTAAGACTGCTTCTCTCTTTTCATGAATAAAAGCAGACACAACGCAGGTGTTTAGAAAACCAGCCTAGGATTAATATTTTAAGCTAGACCTTGGATGCCATCAGACTTTATATTCGTGTTTATTTTCAATTCCGTTCATTTTACTGAGCATCTCTTACATTAAATACACTGTTTGGCCCTAGAAATGCAAAATCAGGAAGTCATCACTCTGCCTGCCTGTAAGGAGCTCACAAGCCATTAGGACCATTAGACATTAGCTTTTCATTTCTTCTTAAACAACCAGAATGGGGCACTCTCCATCTCTAGCCCCTTTGAACAGTTACCATGGAGTACTGTGAGTCCACAGCAGCCAGGAAGTCTTGCTTTAAACATTTGGTCTTTTGTCCACAGCAACTCAGATGTCACCAGGTCATTTCTGTTACCTAAGTACCTTCTCATAAAATGAACCTGGCAATTTTGGACAGATGTTGTCCTCAGTTCTGTGGCGGTGATGGCTCAGGCCTCCTAGGCTAGGAACGCATCAGCTGAGGCCTACTGCAGCCACTCACCGGAAGGGTCTCTCCACTACAGAACAGTAGCTGTACCTCCAGCATTGCTGTTTCAGAGGTGTGTCTCTGAAAGGGCCTCTGCTCAGTCCTTTCGAGAAGGTTAATTAATAAACCCCACATGCTGAGAAGTGAGTTTCCTAAAGTGGGCCCAGTTTCCAGGGAGACTGGCACGTGCCTGTCATCCCTGCTTCTGCACGAGATTTCTTAGAACAGTCGCAATCTGCCTTCTAGATTCCATCCTGTTTTGTTCTAACTGTTGGGTTCAATTTTAGTAAAATCAGGCTGTTATATTTAAGTAAGGGGCCAATCGCAACAGACCACTTATCATCTAAATTGAATTGGACTAAAGTCAGCACCTTCCAAAGAACAACTAGTTCCATGGATGTTATATATGAGGAAAATATGTATGAGTGTGTTGAGATTTTATTAAAGCAAATGCACAGAGAAAAACAGATGTTCTGGCCAGACACGGTGTCTCACGCCTGTAATCCCAGCACTTTGGGAGGCCAAGGTGGGCGGATCACAAAGTCAGGAGTTCGAGACCAGCCTGGCTAACATGGTGAAACCCTGTCTCTACTAAAAATACAAAAATTAGCCAGGCATGGTGGCATGCACCTGTAATCCCAGCTACTTGGGAGGCTGAGGCAGGAGAACTGCTTAAACCCAGGAGGTGGAGGTTGCAGTGAGCCAAGATTGTGCCACTGCACTCCAGCCTGGGCAACAGAGCAAGACTCTGTCTCAAAAAAGAAAGAAAAGAAAAACTGATGTTCTCCCTTTTAAAGTACACAAAATGATCATATTTAGGTAAGTGTCAAATCCCTGTTATTATGAGACTGCTTAGAGTTAAAGGGATTACACCCAAGTGTACCCTAGGGTTGAGCAGACAAATAATTACCCATAAATTTTCAGGCACTGAACACCTGCTCTACATCTTCCTGTAGGCAATTAAGAAAGAAAATACATGCCCAAAGAAGGCTTTTTCTTTTGTTTATTGTTTTAATTTCCCAGGCGATTCATCAGAAGCATCCTATGTAGGCTGTGAAACTGCTGTCACCTGTATTGTGTTCTCATGATGTAATGAAAGGAAAGGAAAGCTACAATTTCAATAGGAGACTAAAATGCTCTCCAAACCTGGTTTTATAGAGGAAGCTAAGTATATCAGAAGGGAACCGGGATTGACGTGGAGATTATGCAGGATGCCCCAGCCAGTCTAGAATTTTTTCTTTAGCCTTTGAGGCACAGGACAAGGAAGAGATCCTTAGGGAACCTTTCCTGGTCAGCCCCATCCTGGATTGAATTGGCTTCCTTATTACTTTTCCTGTGTAATCAGGGTGTTTGCCACTTTTTGTACTACGCCTTCTAACAGCCTGCGTGGCAGTGCCCCAGATGTTTACATGCCTCAATCTTTTCTCCAAATGTCACCTCTCCAGAGGAGCTTCCCTGGCTACTCTCTGAAGCACCCCTATGCCACCAGTACCATTATTTACTTTTTTGTTGTTTTTTTTTTTGGAGACTGTGTCTTGCTCTGTCACCCAGGCTGGAGTGCAGTGGTGCAGTCTTGGCTCACCACAGCCTCTGCCTCCTAGGTTCAAGCAATTCACCTGCCTCAGCTTCCCAAATAGCTGGGATTACAGGCATGTGCCACCACACCTGGCTAATTTTTGTATTTTTAGTAGAGACAGGGTTTCACCTTGTCGGCCAGGCTGGTCTCAAACTCCTGACCCTCAAGTGATCTGCCTGCGTTGGCCTCCCAAAGTGTTGGAATTACAGGTATGAGCCACCGCACCCAGCCCATTATTTACTTCTTATCTGTCTTCCCCACTGGAATACAAGCTCCCTGAGAGCTAGGCTCTGGTCTAACTCATTTACCATATATTCCTTTTGCCCAGACCATGTCTGGCATATAGTAGGCACCCGGAAATGTTTTTTGAATGAAGGAATAAAGTGCCTTGTTACCGTATCTCAAACATAAGGTCCTTGAGGGAAAATGCAGTCTTTAGAGATATGTCTATATCCCACATAACACCATGGAAACTGTTGAGATAACTTAAATGTGCACAGCAACCTGGACCAATAAGTTGAAGAGTTATGCTTTAGTGGCCAGTCTTCCTGGAGGTGGATAAAGCATTGAAATGAGTCTTTGAGATCCCCTTTGATTAAAGTAGCTGATGCTGAAACAGAGTTTGAATCAACAAGGTGGAATGGCCCTCTTCAAACTCTTAATTGGAATATCGTTTCAATTTCATCTGAAATGTCAGGCTTAGCTGTTCGTTTTTATCAACAGTCCATCTAGACCAGTAAGCAACAAGATACCAGTGACAGGGGTAGCTGTAATCCAGATAATGTTACTACATTATTCATACCAGTTTGATTAATAGTCGTCTTTGAAATCTTATCTCCATCACAGACAGATACATATTGATAACTTCTATGCTTTCAGCAATATGCTCAATTGTGTAAAACTAGATCCGTCACACAGAAATGCTGAGAATTTACAAACCACCCAGTAAGTTTGAGGAATTTTACTTTCCACTGAGTCCCCAAAATATTGTGTCTTAAAACCACAGAATGGCTAAGTTTGTCGAAGTTCAATGACTTGCTCAAGGCAACCTCCCTCATTAAAGATGGAACCAAACTGGTTTTTCATTTGGATCATCCTGCCTTGGACTCTGAAGTTCATTCAATTTTATTGAGCACCTACTGTGCACAGCATACAAGTCTAGACACTGCTTTCATTGCACAATTCATTATTCAGCTACCATTGCCTTACTGTAATCTTCTTTGTAAGAAAACAAGGTAAACCCTAAATCCATACAGAGACAGAGACAATACCAGCTCTTACACTGTTGTTTTTCAAGAGCTTCTGAAAGCCTATTATGGATCACTCCGTGCTTAACTGTCAGCAACCAGATTCTTCTCTGTGATGTTGAACCATCCCTTGAAAATTAAATGACCGAGGCTAAGTCGTATCCTGTGCCTTCTAAATGAAGCTTTTCTGGCTTTTGTTTAGAGTTCCAAGAAGGGCCAGATAAGGCAAGGAAATATTATAGCCCACACCTTCCTATCTCACATCAGTGTCAAGTAAATACCTAGAGTAAGCTCCAGAATACCCTTTGCTTTGTTATTTGGAAATGTGCTTCACCAGCATTTGTTCATCCAATATCACTCATCCTTTGATAACACAGACCACTTCTAAGAGAGAAAACTGCTCCTGGAGTGCTGCCCTTGAAGTGGAACACTAGCATTCTTATGTCTGTTTTAAAGATCAAACTGAGAACGTGACTGTCCCCATGACGGTTTGTCCTGAGAGGATTTGTGATGGGAGTCAAAGGCTAAACGCAGTGTTGGGCTCTACACCATTCTGCTGTTATGAGGGAGTATGTGTTCTAAAATGAACACTAACTGGGAATAGAACTATTAATGGGACCTTCTTCTCTCCCATGCAAAAACGTCAAACAGTTAGCATTTGTGAAGAATCGATTACTAATTTTACTAAACACAGGTGAGGTTAGTGGCAGCGTATAAGGAAGGAAGCATAAGTGGTTCTTAATTCAGATGAAAATATCTTAAAACAATAAATGTTTTGAGTATCTTCTGTTCCAGCCTGAAACTTTGTTCTAAGAAAGTTTTCTCCCTGATTAAGTCATAAAGATTTGTTGGAGGAATTGACAGATTCAGAAGGGAAAATGTACAAAAAAAAAATCATGATTAGCAACATGAACTAATGTCAACTACTCTATAGCTTAATAGTCCTTCAAATCTCTATCAATCAAAATACTGACAAAAGATAGAACAGAAATGCTTTTCAGGTTAGGTTTTATCAAAATTGTATTCTAAAGTCTCATGACATCAGGCCACCTACATGTTTGGTAGTAGGCCAAATAAATCTAATCGTTTTCTGCATAACAGAGTGTCAATATCACATTCTTTAGGAGTCTTTTTCTTACTTGTATACTCCTCGTACCTTATGCCTCTCAAATGGAACACTCAAATCTACATGTGTATTACGGAGTTGTGCTTGTCAGACTGAGCTGAAAAGCCACAAGGACCAGGTTGGCTGGTTTGTTTACTTTTCAGTCTGTCTCTAACCAATACGTGGTCCTACTGTGTGTGACTGTGTAACTCACCCCATCTGCAACACGTTCACCAACACCTGAACTGGTCTACACTTTGTCCAGTGAGACAAATCTGCTAATCATGCCCTTGGTTATCATGACAATGTCCATTTGCTATAGAGGTTTCTGAACACTTCCCTTAATTTCTGTGCTCACCTCATCATGACCAGGAAGCACGCTTTGAGGAGGAGGAGCAGCAGCAGCAGCAGAAGAAAGTCCAGTAGAACTATAGTATCTTCTGTACTTCCTTGAGAGAGAATTACCTTGGCAGCCAGCCATTCAGAAAAAGCTGCAACTTGAATTATCAACATCTTTCGTCTTTCTCATTTTTCTGCTTACAATCTTCCCACTGCTGTCTCTCTCTGCTTGGGTTGCATGTGGACCTGTTTCAGCAAGATGTGTCTCCTGCAGGGATAGCACCGGGCTAAGTGGCAGCATTTGAGCTGCATCTGTGCAGTTGGACCTACACAGTCATGATATTTTGTTGATTCACACTAACCTCAAGGAAATGTCAAAACTGAAAAAGTGTTCCCTGATACTCATATTCAAATGAAGTGTACCCTAAGAGAGACAGGGGGGTGTGTTTGAAACATAAGAGGATGATGTATGCCTAGTATATTTGTGGTATGCAAATTGGTTATTCCAAAGTATTTAGAAACCCAAGTATTTAGGCTTGCTCTCGTTGTTAAATATGACCCTTAAGCCCACTTAGTATATATCTCAAAAATGAAGAAATTTCCACCTAACTCAATGATCAGAAATTAATGGGGTTTCATTTAATGAGAATTTACCATATTGATAGAGCTATAATTAGGAAGCTGTTGAATTAATTAACATATCAGTGTTCAGAAAATAATCTTATTAAGAGGGGCACTGAAATATACCCACTCTACCACAAACAACTTCTTGTGACTTCAGGCAAGTAACCATACCTGCATGTAATTATTATACTACCGGTGACCATAGACTTTCTACGGGTCAGTCAATGTGCTAAGAGCTCTGTGTGCCTCACGTTGGTGACTCTGGGAGGCCGGATGACAGATACTAGTGAGGACACAGACCTTAGATATACTAACACGCACATGATCAAGCTGCTAGAAAGAGGGAGAGTTGGGTTCTGAACATCTGTCTTCATAGTTACAACTCTTCCCCACCACGTTATACCCCATGTATCAGCAAGAGAGACTGCTGAAAGTCATTAAGATCATGGCAGTCCTCACTTGAAACCTTTTGATGGGTTCCCATGGTGTTGAAATAAAATCTTAGCTGCTCATGCTGGCCTGTGGGCCCTGCCTGGTCTAGCTCTGCCACCTGGCCACCCTCAACCCACTTCTGTTTTTTGTACACGGGACTCTGGCCATGCTGGCCCAGGGCCTTTTTACACCTGCTGTTCCTCCACCTGGGAAGTGTCCATGGTGCCTGGCACCCTGCCTTTCATCGGGGAGAGTTCAAGAAGTATCTGCCATGTAACTGCTTTGAGCTTCTCCATAGACAGCTACATTCGCCTTCCCCTCTAAGAAGACCCTTGAGAGAGGCCACTTGGAAATAGTCCCCAGATACAGTGGCACGAAGACCCCATCTCGGAGCCCTTCCATTCTCCTGCTTGGTGATTAGATAACACTAAAAATTAGACCAAAGGATCTGCCGGAGAACTTATCACGTGGCCCTTCAAATAGGCCTGCAGCTTAGAGCTACAAAAACTTGCACAAGTCATTGGCAAAGTGGGCAGGGGAGTGACTTAGCCTGGTTACACTGAGAGCCCCAGGATGGCCCCCCTAAGGCTCCGACAATTTCCAAAGTTCTGACTTCATTCTGAAGCACAGACTAATTGGCAAATACAATAGCATGTGTCCCGCATTTGGGCTCGCTTTGCTTTTATCTTATTTAATTTGCAGTAATAGCGGCTGAAACTAATTTCTCAACTGTAAATATCACAGCTGTTGTGGAGAACATTAATTGCACACTATCACGTTACCCTCCTTTCTTGGATCAATTTATGTGTAATCTGTTTGCAAGTTCTATGACTGTGAATATTAAGGGAACGCAATGTGAAATAATCTAACCAAACACATTGGAAACATTTGTACTGAAATGGCTGGTTGGTTTGGGGTAGGGAAATACTCTTGTTTGTGGCAGACATTGAAAAAGTGCTTTTGAAAAGCCCTGCCCCAGAAGTCTTGACTCTGAGTGAAATATGGGTAATTTTTCTTTGGGGGATCAATGAAATAACTATTTTCAAAATGACTTTATATTGAGTGAAAGGTCAGAAATGCCCTAGGCATTGATCCTGTGTCCATAATCACTTTTTTTTTTTAGTAAGTTAACTGGCCCTACAAAATTGAATGCAAAGAAATCCAGTTCATCATTTAAAGATAATATTTTTAAAGCATTTGACATCCCCTCAACTCGCATTGCCTGCTGCAGTCTCACTGGGAATGCCTTTCTTTGTCTAGGAAGTGGACCTCTACAGAATGAACAGCCAGGACAAGCTGGGCCTCACTGTGTGCTACCGGACGGACGATGAAGATGACATTGGGATTTATATCAGTGAGGTACAAAGGCTGATTTTGTTTTTGTAACTATCATATCAAGACCAAAAGCGTTTTTTTTCTTTTATATGTTCACCAACCCTAACCCACCTCATCAAGAACTCTTTGGAAAGACACAAATTATTCTGTCCCCTCATCACACTCCATGGCATTGCATCTTTCCATGGAGGTTAAGTTCTAATGTAAGTACTTAAGGCAAAATTACCCTTGAGAAGCCTGCAAATCAGCCATAAAATGGAGCCGTTTACATGGTTTTGTGTGTTTAGCCCCGAGGGAACAGCAGATTCACATTTCCCAACTCATGTTCATTGAGTGGAATGGTGGGTGGAATAACTTACACTTTTTAAAGCCTCTCTCTCTGTCTCTCACTTTTTTTTTCCTCTTAGTGGAGTATATATAGTTGAGTTCATATAAGTTAAATATGACTTTTGTATGTACTTATCAAACTACATAGATGCATGCTCTTTTGACCTTCCTTGAGAAGATACATAAAGCAGCTGGTTTCAGCATGGAAACTTTACAGTGCACACGCATCGTTGCAATCACAGAAACCCAATTTTGTCAGGAAATAAAATCTGTCGCTACAGAACGAACTACTAGACTCCGAAATTGTCTCTTTGGTTGTATGTCATCCACCAAGCTTAAGTTAACCCAGCCTTTCTGCGTTTGAGGGCATCCCTCCCCTTATCAGTCCTCCTTGTCCCAATGATATTTCAAATTTAAAGTTATTTTCCAAATTTTAATACAAGTATTTGGTATAAAATAAGGTATGGTTGCTAGTCAACATAATGAAGGGTATCCTTTAACCTGTTCTACATCATTGATTTTAATTACCATGCATGCAACAAAAGTCAGCTGTGCCTCCTCAGATCAGCAGAGCCTGCACACACTGCTATATAATAGAGTTGCTATGCAGGGATCCAAGAACCAGCCCTAGAAAGGGCTTAGAAGCAGATCAGCTCATGTTTGCCTCTCCTTGCACGACACTAAGTCTTGTTTATTTCTGTGCAAAACAGAAACACAGGGATGAGCATGACTGTGTGTTAGAGATGGCTTTGAAAGTGCTGTTGCTTATTTTCATGCATATCTGCATTTGTGCTGAGATGGTCCATGTGTGTTTCAGATTGACCCTAACAGCATTGCAGCCAAGGATGGGCGCATCCGAGAAGGAGACCGCATTATCCAGGTAAGTCCACTTCCAAACAATGGCCTCTTAATGGGCCTATCACTAAAGAGCAAACTGGTTCTAATGATAGGTCTAGGGTTGAAATTGCAGAAGAGGTTAAAGAACAGGGATCACAAACACAAATGTGTAGTGAGGCCAGACAAGTTAAACTAATTGTGAGGCTAACTCTGAGTCATAAGAAGCAACAGGGAGTGGTGAGGACTGAGACAAACTAGATGGGGCATGTTCTGTCCAAAGAGGGCCTTGCAAAACTTGAGCCAGTTCTCCTCATTTTCTTTCATTCTATTTGGATCAAAACAAACATCAGTGAGCCAAAGTCAGGCCAACAGTTTACAACTTGTGAACTAACATAATTCTCGTTTTAGATTTCTCTGAAAGATTAACTTTGGACCAAGCATTTCAGAGTCTCGTCCATAAAATGGGAACATTTTTGGCAAATTTAGCAGAATCGATTGAAAAGTCTTATAAATTTTCTGACTCAACATCTAACCATCCTGGAATCGCTTCTGAGGGTCATCACTTGACCTTGAGCCCTGTTGCTCCTTCTAGTCCAAATGAGACCATTCATGTCTCTTTTGGCTACAACCTTCTTTAATCTCACAGAATTGAGATTCTTGGCTTCATTGTGTCTGCAAGGCTTAGCTTTCTCTCTTCTCATCCATATCCTCTCATTCCTAATCAACTGTGTTTTTCTCATTGCATACCTCACCACAAGTCATTCTGATTTTCTTCTCCCACTGCCTACTCTGGGTTTCTCTAGCCTTCAGCCAGAACCTGTGCTGCTCAGGATCGCTTGCCCTAGGGAAGTGACCCAAACCTTCACACCTGAAGGCTTCACACCTGAAGGGTCAGGGTCCTCAGCATACTGCCATTTTTTTTTTTGGTTGCTGGAGTTTTCCATTAACCTTTACTAAGAATGGAAGCACTCAGAGGTACTCCAAGGAATCCCCTGGGTTCCAGACACAGTCCTCCCTGCCTCCACTGTATCACAGCAAGCCCATTTTCCCTTGGTAATTGAAGGCAATCACTCCAACCAATAGCGTCACCCCTTTTGCTGCCTGTTGGCTCACTGGTGTAAGGAGGCATGTGGAGGGCTCCACTTCCAATTCAATGGAACCATTGCTGTGTTCCCTGGAGGTGGCGTTCCACCAGGATTAAGACCTCCAGACCAACAGGGGTCAAAGTCACCAGGACATGCAAGCAAAAATCCTGCAAGAGGGTTAATCAAGTATGATAGTGAGAGTGTCATGCCCACTTGACCCTCTGCCTGGCCTAAAGAAGTTTAAGTGTCAAACTGGGGACACAAAACACCATGTGTAATTCTATTCCCTTTTCTTAACCTCAGTTTCCATAATGTTCACATCAGACCCACTGCTGCTTTTTCTTCTATATTATCCAATAATGTCTACATATACTCCTGCCTGAATATTATGTCTAATTACTTTCATGTTCCCTCTGCACAGCATTATGATTTTTCTCAGTGCGGTCTTCTAGAGGTTCAGCCCCTTCTGTTCACACTCCACACATCAGTCACCTCATGAACTACACTCATGGAGGCTCCTTTGTAGACCAGAGAAACTGCATTGCTCTGAGCAAGACTTTTCCTTCCTAAAATCAGTATTCTTTTCCAGCTACAGGGAAGTTTTATGTTCCAGCTGTGAGTGGGTGACAAATGCAGGTCTGAAATAAAATAGAATGATTTTGCACCATCTAATCATACTATTTGTCTCCCCACTCCCCACCACCCTTTTTTTTTTTTTTTTTAAAGATCAATGGGATAGAGGTGCAGAACCGAGAAGAGGCTGTGGCTCTTCTAACCAGTGAAGAAAATAAAAACTTTTCATTGCTGATTGCAAGGCCTGAACTCCAGGTAAATTGGCTTCCTACAGATGAAACTGGGTCTGTATTTCTAAAATCAAAAGCTCAGGTCCCCAGGCTTGGAAAAGAGCACCTGAGTATTGGCTGTGAACTTGAAGGTGTTTTGTACCCTAGAAATACAATCAAACTTGCTGTGACTTAGAATCCACTTTATGATTTAGCCATGTAAGGTTGGTTAGATACCCACCCTGACATCTATACTGCAGGCCCACCGGGTTGGTTAATGTAGGGATCACAGGGAAGGAAAAGGAAACAGAATAGAATGGAAAACACAACTGGAGTCATCAAGACATTTGACTTCCCAAGGCCTAACATGTGTTCCAGCCTTGATCTGTGCAGGTTCCATTTACAATAGCAGAGTATGGGGAATTAAAAATTGCTCTTTCAAAATAAAAGAAATATTGAATGATAAATAATAATTAAAACTGATATGACCACCAAATAAGGGCTAGACTCTCCGTGGATCACTTTACACACAGGAGAGCCTTCCCAAGAGATGGAAGTTTCCAGAGGTTCAAAAGTTACCCAGAAAAGCCCCAGAAGGAGGGTGATAAAGCAGGGAGGGGTTCAGGCCCAAGTAATCTGATTCAGAAACCACTGTGTTATAATAACTCCTTCCACAGAAGGAATCATGAACTCTCCCAGGTGGCACTCTTGATCCACTTAGAATGGCTCCAGCAACACATCTAGAGCAGTCCAGTAGTAGATCTCTTTAGGTATGTGTATTACTCCATTTTCATGCTGCTGATAAAGACATACTCAAGACTGGATAATTTATAAAGAAAAAGAGGTTTCATGGACTCACAGTTCCACATGGTTGGGGAGGCCTCACAATCATGGTGGAAGGCAAAAGGCACGTCTTACATGGCAGCAGGGAAGAGAGATGAGAACCAAGCAAATGGGGTTTCCCCTTATAAAACTAGTAGATTTCATGAGACTTACTCACTACCATGAGAACAGTATGGGGAAAACTGCCCCCATGATTCAGTTATCTCCCACAAGGTCCTTCACACAACATGTGGGAATCATGGGAGTTACAATTCAAGGTAAGATTTGGGTGGCGACAGCCAAACCATATCAGTATGAAACCCAGTTGAAAAAGTAGCCTAGAGACAGTGGCATACAGGGCATCTGATTCTCCACAGATGGAAGCCTCATAAGCTCAAAGGGAACTTCAGCTGTCATCTCACTCACAGTCAGACTTTTTCTTAAAGGTCCAGATAGTAAATGTTTGACTCGGGTGGCTATACCATCTCTGCTAGACTCTGTCACTCTAGTGCAAAAGCAGAGGGCATAGTTGTGTTCTCATTAAATTTTTTTTTATTTACAAAAATAGCAGGCTGGATTGAGCCCCATGAGCTATAGAGTGCCAACTTCTGAATAGTTCACTCTTTTTAGGGCAAGGCAGATAAAGGCCTTTTAAAAGTGATATCCAGTCAGGCTCGGTGGCTCACGCCTATAATCCCAGCACTTTGGGAGGCCGAGGCAGGAGGATCACTTGAGGTCAGGATGAGGCCCAGTTGGCCAACCTGGTAAAACCCCATCTCTACTAAAAATACCAAAATTAGCTGGGCGTAGTGGTGCATGCCTGTAATCCCAAATCCCAGCTACTCGGGAGGCAGAGGTTGCAGTGAGCCAAGATCATGCTACTGCACTCTAGCCTGGGAGACAGAGTGAGATTCTGTCTCAAAAAAAAACAAAAAACAAAAAAACCGTGATATCCTTGCCCAAGCCAAACAGCTAGTTACTGTATCTACTGTATCAGAAAGAACCCTTTTTCACACTAAAAATCATTTTTCTATGGGACCTGTTAAACTTGTGTCTGGTCCAGCAAGCAGGGGGAACAGCTAAATCTGACCCTCCTACACAGGTGTCTTACTGCAGTGAAAGTAGCTGAGATGGATGAAAGAGTTTCACCCTGAAAAAAAAAAAATCATGGATATTAAAGACTTCCCCAGTTTGTAGTGCAGGGTTGGAGGTCTCTGTAATGTGAGGGTGGGATAGTTTCCTGACTTAACGGCAAATCATTGGGCAGACTGCATTTTGATGACTCTTGGAGGAAGCCCTGGAAATATTTTTCCCCAAGGTAATGTCATTTTTTTTAAAAACATAAATGAACATGAAAGGAAACTTCTAAGGCATGTGTTGGCTGCTCTTGCCTGCAGCTGGATGAGGGCTGGATGGACGATGACAGGAACGACTTTCTGGATGACCTGCACATGGACATGCTGGAGGAGCAGCACCACCAGGCCATGCAATTCACAGCTAGCGTGCTTCAGCAGGTAACGCCCACGCACCAGTCCCTGACACTCTGCCCTGCTGAGCTGGAGGAAAGTCTGCTTCCTCCATCCCCCTTTATGGCGCTAAAGACCATCAGAAGCTTATCCACCTGGAAGACAGCAAGAAAACAGCCTCAAGTACTTTTCTATTTGAGCACCAGACCAGTGAAATGCAAGCTGGTACTGTCCCTAGCTAAGCTTTTAAATCTAAGCACCGTTGCCAAAGCAAAGCTGACCTTATGATAATTTGTTTGGAAAACATATGCGTCGGTATTACCATAGATTGGAAAAAGCCATGTTTTCCAAAGTAAAGCAATCCCCTCTGTTTAACCTGAGCTACTTGGAGCTCTCTAGCTCCCTACTATGCTAATACCATTGTCAGAGTCTTAATGAGCCACTCACTGAGTCCTGTATGAGCTAAACAAGGACCTTTATACATCCTACCTGTGTACTGATTGATTTAACGGAATCATTCATTGAGATAAAGACTATTAAAGCGACTATTATTATCCTCATTTTACAAAACTGAGGACAAGAACAAGAATAAGTGACTTGCCCAGGTAGATATGGGTAAGTGTGGCTAAGGCCCACGCTCTTGACCTGGTCCTACTGTCAGATGCTGCCCCTCGGCCTTAGAAATGTACAGCCTGCCCTATCCAGAAACACTGCAAGGAAAGGTCAAACCTGAATACCTGCTGCGTAGGCCTCCCTCACTGTGACCCTTTGTTCTTGTTTTTATGCAGAAGAAGCACGAGGAAGACGGTGGGACCACAGATACAGCCACCATCTTGTCCAACCAGCACGAGAAGGACAGCGGTGTGGGGCGGACCGACGAGAGCACCCGCAATGACGAGAGCTCGGAGCAAGAGAACAACGGCGACGATGCCACTGCATCCTCCAACCCGCTGGCGGGGCAGAGGAAGCTCACCTGCAGCCAGGACACCTTGGGCAGCGGCGACCTACCCTTCAGCAACGAGTCCTTCATCTCCGCCGACTGCACGGACGCCGACTACCTGGGGATCCCAGTGGACGAGTGCGAGCGCTTCCGCGAGCTCCTGGAGCTCAAGTGCCAGGTGAAGAGCGCCACTCCTTATGGCTTGTACTACCCTAGCGGCCCCCTGGACGCCGGCAAGAGCGACCCCGAGAGCGTGGACAAGGAGCTGGAGCTGCTGAACGAGGAGCTGCGCAGCATCGAGCTGGAGTGCCTAAGCATCGTGCGCGCCCACAAGATGCAGCAGCTCAAGGAACAGTACCGCGAGTCCTGGATGCTACATAACAGCGGCTTCCGCAACTACAACACCAGCATTGACGTGCGTAGGCACGAGCTCTCGGACATCACCGAGCTCCCGGAGAAATCCGACAAGGACAGCTCGAGCGCCTACAACACGGGCGAGAGCTGCCGCAGTACCCCGCTCACCCTGGAGATCTCCCCCGACAACTCCTTGAGGAGAGCAGCGGAGGGCATCAGCTGCCCGAGCAGCGAAGGGGCTGTGGCGACCACGGAAGCCTATGGGCCAGCCCCAAAGAATCTGCTCTCCATCACGGAAGATCCTGAAGTGGGCACCCCTACCTATAGCCCATCGCTGAAGGAGCTGGACCCTAGCCAGCCCCTGGAAAGCAAAGAGCGGAGAGCCAGCGACGGGAGCCGGAGCCCCACGCCCAGCCAGAAGCTGGGCAGCGCCTACCTGCCCACCTACCACCACTCCCCATACAAGCACGCGCACATCCCGGCACACGCCCAGCACTACCAGAGCTACATGCAGCTGATCCAGCAGAAGTCGGCCGTGGAGTACGCGCAGAGCCAGATGAGCCTGGTGAGCATGTGCAAGGACCTGAGCTCCCCCACCCCGTCGGAGCCGCGCATGGAGTGGAAGGTGAAGATTCGCAGCGACGGGACGCGCTACATCACCAAGAGGCCCGTGCGGGACCGCCTGCTGCGGGAGCGCGCCCTGAAGATCCGGGAAGAGCGCAGCGGCATGACCACCGACGACGACGCGGTGAGCGAGATGAAGATGGGGCGCTACTGGAGCAAGGAGGAGAGGAAGCAGCACTTGGTGAAGGCCAAGGAGCAGCGGCGGCGGCGCGAGTTCATGATGCAGAGCAGGTTGGATTGTCTCAAGGAGCAGCAAGCAGCCGACGACAGGAAGGAGATGAACATCCTCGAACTAAGCCACAAAAAGATGATGAAGAAGAGGAATAAAAAAATCTTCGATAACTGGATGACGATCCAGGAACTCTTAACCCACGGCACAAAATCCCCGGACGGCACTAGAGTATACAATTCCTTCCTATCGGTGACTACTGTATAATTTTCACTTCTGCATTATGTACATAAAAGAGACCACTACCACTGGGGTAGAAATTCCTGCCTCGTTCAATGCGGCAAGTTTTTGTATATAAGATAAATACGGTCTTCATGTTTATAGTCCAAATTTGCAGACCCTACAACTCTGGGTGTCATAGGTCTATTTTAAGGGGAGAGAGAGAAAAACACCCTTACTATCTTGGAAGGCAATATTAACAAACAGAGCTTTTTTCAAATAGCAATTGTACTTTTCTACCTGTACCCTTTTACATAAAGTGTTTAAATTTCAGAAAGATCTTTTATTAAGCATACTTTCACAGAATAATTTGTTTAAACTATATTCATATTAAAAAGTTAAACACGCTTTTTTTCCTGCCTAAAAACACAAATACAACTGCCAGTATGTATTTTTAATGGAACCCTATTTTATAATGTTACGTTACTGAATGTGTTTCATATGCGTGACCGTTAAGATATTATTTAGGTGAAGGTTTCAACTCAAAACCACCCAACCCGGTGGTTAACGATTTAATACACATAACCAAACCGGCAGCATTTAGAGTTGGGATATACATTTAAACATTTTCCTGGTTAAGGTTCCCAAGAGAGTGTAAAGGTTTTAGCAGAAAGCAAAATATCATGCAGCTTTATGGAAGTTTAAAGCATGTTTGCAAATATTGCAGCCCATTGAAAGAATTTGCATGTACAGGAAAGTTGTGGATGGAGATGGTTTGTGGAATTTTAAGTGCTCATTGTAGTAAACTTTTGCTTTGTAGATTTGAAGGTACAGACTTATACAAGCAAGTTCACAAAATCATGATTAGTTACAAATATTAAGTAAAATGAAGTTAAAATAAATTATTATTTTCTATTTGATATGTTTTGATGTGATTCCTCATTTTGCAGTGGTGCCTATAAAATAAAAGCCTTTTGCAGTGTTTGCTTTTTTCCCCTTGGTTGTATTTACCTGCTACTTTGGAAGGATTTACCATCTGATGCCTTCGCATTCAGCCTCATGGATATAAAGCCAAGGTCTAGCAGTGAAGAACACAGGGTCAAATTTACCATACAACCCTGCATTCTGACTGCCTGTCTCACAGAAAGTTTCAGCCTGGCCCAATATCCTATAAACAAGAATAGCTATGAGCAAGTTTATCAATCAGGGCCATGTTTACAGTGAAATCTCTTTCGTTTATTGCAACCATTACTGCCTGTCAGTAATAACTAACACTCCGGGTGGCTAGGTCCAGCTTTCCATTTCTAAGATGCATCTCCAAATCAGGCAATATTTTCATAGAAAAACAGGGGTCACCAAACTGGGTGGGCTTCAAATCTGGTATCTTTCTGACTACTGCAACCACCAGGATCGTAAATAATGAATTTGCTACAAATTGTTTCCTGATTGATTGATTGTAATGTTTACACCAATTTCAGCTGTAATACTGAAAAAAAAGTAAGATAAAGATAGGATTAGGATGGTGTCATTTTTATTTGCCATGATGCCATACATCTGGTTTACTGTCTGATCCAAATGGAATTTGGATTGAAATGACCAGGTGTTTTAGGCATTTCAGACATATATTCCTCTCACAGACCCTGCTCCAACCACAGTCACTCCTTTGGGGCCAGAATCTTGAGATTAATTAGTAGTCACTCTTGTAATAAACCAACTTAATGAAAATAAAACACTGCAATACTTATTCCTCATTATTAAGATGTCTGTTCATTACCTCTTCCAGAACCAGGCATTGTTATGATAATTACATCTGCTGCATTACTCTAATCAGCCCTCCAAGGTGAAATTTTTGCAAAAAGTGTACTATTAGGGCCTCGGTTTCCTGATACTCTCCGTTTTAACTTTCCACAAAATCGGATCCTTACCTCCTCCCAGGAGAAGCTCCCCTTTCCCAGTCCTGTCACCTCATACCCTGTCTTCCTAGTTAATGTTTCACAGCGAACAATCATCAGTCAAATGAATTATAAATTGCTGCAAAGCATATATCAGCATATGAGTTTATATGGGGAAATAGCTTTCCTCCCCTTGTGTGTTCTCACTGAAGACCAGAGGGGGCTACATGGCCACAGGAACAGCTTTAGCCTAAACAGTCAAGCACAGGGTTTGGTTTTGTTTTTTGAGACCGAGTCTCGCTCCTCGCCCAGGCTGAGAGTTCAGTGGCGCGATCTAGGCTCACTGCAAGCTCCACCTCCTGGGTTCACGCCATTCTCCTGCCTCAGCCTCCCGAGTAGCTGTGACTACAGGCGACCACCACCACACCCGGCTAATTTTTTGTATTTTTAGTAGAGACGGGGTTTCACCATGTTAGCCAGGATGGGCTCGATCTCCTGACCTCGTGATCCGCCCATCTCGGCCTCCCAAAGTGCTGGGATTACAGGCATGAGCCACCACACCCGGCCAAGCACAGGGGTTTTTAACCAGGGCTCCCCATGTGTCTCTGGATTTGGGGCTCAGCTCCTGCACTTATGAAAAAGTAGAGGGAAATAATAGGATGCATTCAAATCCAATTCTAAATCCTTTGATTTCAACTTATTTTTAAATCACTTTATCATCTAGATATACTTAGTCATAACATTCTGTGTAATATGAAGCTTCCCAAATCTAATTTAACCAATTAACTTCTAAAAGAAATTGGAAGAGATCTTAGAAATCATCACTTTATCAATGAACAGGGCACTCAGGGAGGCAAAGAAATGCAGTGCAGCTCATTCATAACCAAACTGGGATTTGAACTCAAAACCCAACACCTGGTTCCACAATTCTTAGCACCCCATACTCTGGAGAATCACCCTCATGTGCACGGTTAACTTAGATGCATTAAATCCTGTGCCCTCGACCAAAAAACAAATGCATTTCACCAGTGGATGCCCCAGAGTGAACATAAGAGGAATCATGAATCTGCCATTTCTTCAACAAGTATGAGCTCCAAGTGCCTCACAGTGCATTTCTTAGCTGGCGGTCGGGATGAAAATTTTCCTGGGTAATAGTGATGAGACAATTTCTAGCTTCCGTTCTCACTAATGTAAAGCCCCAGCTTCTGTGTAAACAGAACATCCACTATAACAGGCCTTTCTACCACCCTGGCTGCATGTACTTTACTTCTTGGGCCCATTGAAGGATCTGATGGAAGCTATAGATTCTATTTGCAGAAAATTAAAAAGTGCATATAATTGAAGACTTCACATACCCCCAAAGTCCATTCACAGATCCCCTCAAAGCATGCAAGAACCCCAAGTTTAGAATAACCAAATTTGATAGCTTTATAGGTTTTTTATTTCTCAGACTTTTATTTCAGCTGCATCTTACACACACTGTTTGATTTGAATGCCTACTTTTCATATCAAGGACTACTTTTCTTCCTATTAGAACTATACTGTTTAACACAATTAAAATTTAGCAAATCACTAGTACCTATAACTAGTACCTATACTCTTCCGGTCATTGTGCAGTTTTTCTGACACCTACATAAATTGAGGAATGATGAATACAGATTTCTGATTCTCCATAGCAGCCACCCCACTGGTTGGATGACTCAGGTTTAAACTAATCCTAAAATACAAAGCGAAGGAAATGAGAATGTATTGACCATCTGAGCTGCACTGCCTAATACCCGCAGCCATTAGCCACATCTGGCCATTAAGCAGTTAAAATGTGGTTAGTCCAAATTGAAATGTTCTGAGAAAATGGATTTCAATGACTTTGTATTTAAAAAAGAAAAATATTTTGATAATTTTTATGTAGAAATCATATGTTGCATATGTTGGATTGAATAAAATGCAGTTATCACTAATTTAACCTGTTTTAACTGTTTAATGTAAATGCTAGAAGATTTTTAATTACATATGTGGCTTGCGTTATGCTTCTATTGGGCAGCACAGATACAGAAAATATCGGGCAAGTACATGCTAAACCCTTGCCCTCATCATCTCACTAAATCCTTGGGGCAGTTCCATGAAGCAGATGCTTCATCAATAGTTAAGACTCAGATTAAAAACTTTGGCCAGACAAGTGTAAAGATGTGATTTGAACTGGCATCTACCTAATACCAAACCCTTTACCTGTGCGTCCATCTCCTCCTAAGAAGCAATTCAAAGTATATTCAGTTTAGGTTAATATTTGTAACATATTCATAATCACAAAGAAATTACTTCAAAGTAGCAAGCATTTCACTCAGTTCCCTTTGAGTTCTAAATTGCAGAATATTCTAACTCTCTCGGCAAGACCACATGACAATGAATAAATATCTAGGAATGTGGGGGCACAAGCTAAGTTTTTCATCTTTTAAATGGAAACAGGAGATCCCAAATAGCAAAAATCATAAATACGATGAGGTGGGATTATACATCGCCTAAGGAATACTAGTTGGAGAACTAATTAAGACTATAAACTGAAATATGAAAATTAACCAAGTAATTATCTACTTGTAGCCTTCAGAAGTAGGTTACAGGTTACTTGTTAGGAACATTGCCCAAAACCAAGGAAGCAAACAATTCTGCCACAAGCAATTGAGACTCCCACTTTTATTTCTGTTTCTCGGTTTTAAGTATTTTAGGATTTCTGTGGAGCATCAAGTAATTAAAATCACTAAAACTGAGATAAGATACAAGAATTATCCTGGCAAATGCTGTAGTCTTCAGTTTTGATTAAATGTGAATTCCCTAAAGCAGTTATAAAACGAAGTGTAGTTCTCTGAGTTTCATTCAAATGGGGTTTTTCTGCTTAAATGGTTCATTTTCTTTAGCTTCCAGTTGCCACTAATCCTGAAAGGGCACAGTCCACAGGGACATGTGGTTTGCCTATAATGTGGTTTTGCCTTTCAATGGCAGAATGCTGACCTCCGTGCACTCAGCATCTTTTTAAAATGAAAAACGGGGAATTAATGATCCCTCCTTCACTGGGGCTATTGCAAATTTAAACTTGCTCACCAATTAGTAAGTCTCGCTAAAATCCTCAAAAGCCAAAGGAAACTCCCTAAACCTCATCAGAGTCTCTCAAAAATATACTAGGAAGTAATTAAATTGTGTTTTTAGTTCTCTTTGGAGAACTACACGTCTCCCAGACATTGTGGGTTTGACTTAGCAGTTTCAGCTCTGTAGAATTATGACAACCTTATGCATCCAGGAGCCATGTCAGAAACCAGCACGGATTCCTTCATCCACTAGTTACTATGTGCATACTCAATCTAGGGCCATGAGGAGGTCTCTGGAGCTCATGGTCCAGTGAGAAAGAAAACAGTAATCCAGCCATCACACAAATACTTACAAACATCACACAAATACGCACTCAACAAGATTAGAGTAAGGGTCAGATAGGAGAGCTAGTGCCACAGATTTCAGAGAGGGTCTCCCTTAAAAAGTTATGGTTGATCTGAGAGTCAATAGACGAATGTGAGTTAACTAGAAAGGTAGTTAAATACAGAAAATAGCACGTACAAAGGTCCTGAAGTGAGAGAGATTTGGCCTATTTGAAACAAACAAAAAAAGGCAGGTGTGACTTGAGCTCAAAAACAATGGAAAAAGAATAGAGAGAATTGAGTGTGTAAAGACAGGCAGTTAGGAAGGAATGACACTGTCTACTTGACCATAAATACCTATTCATTATGGCTAACCTTTATTGAGCACCTAATATGTGCCAGAAACTGCTAAGTCTTTTACGTGTGCTAACTCCCTGAACCATAAGTAGCCTACCTGATGGGTGGCACTGTTCTTATTTTGCAAATAAGGAAATAAAGAAGGCTTAGAAAAGCAACCAGCTGGTGCATGGTTGAGGGGAAAAGTGAAGCCATCTCTCTCTGACCCCACTGAATCACTGGGCTGCAAGTAGCAACTCCACGACAGGCACTATGGAAAAGGCTCATATATTTCAGCAGATACCTAATATCTGGAGACCTTTGATGACTATTTTGTGCCCCGCCTTTTTCTGCT